ACTCTGATCCCTCGGCAACATTACAGGAGAGTCATCGTTTCCACAATAATCAACATCATCAACAAGTTTAAGTTCATTTTGTTTCAGGAAATCATCATTCAAGAATTCGTCCGTCTCCGACATGGTATGAATCATAGAATGTTTGCGAGTAATTAGTCAATATTCAAAACAACACAAAAACTCAACCGATTCAGCATCAAGATGAAGGCTGGAATTCTCCACCATGTTATGGGGGTGCAGGGGAAACCCGTCTGCTTGGCTATGAGAGGCACGATAAAACCCATACATCACAGATTAGAAAACCACGCTGTCTTCACTTTACCGCCAATTTATTCTACGGAAAACAACAACACACATATAAACACGAAAACAAGGATCCGGAGGCCGGGTCAAATATCCGGAACTAGTCAATTATCTTACACTACCTGACCAGTTATATAGATGTATACAACAACGCCCACATCGTGCCGACATCGTTGAAACCCACAATGTACCGGTCAAGGACTTCTATCCGCTTTCCACTCAAAACTCAAATACTTTTACCAAGAAAACTTCAAATCTGTGCAAATACCCTCAACGTATATACAAGACATAAGCTCTTGACAAATAAAATACAATCCATATCAGCATATTTTTGACGTTCGTGCAGAGTTACCTCCCCGCACGGAGCTTTCCTACTTGATTTTATTTTTATGTAAGCATGGCGGGTATTACGTGCACCTCAAGGAAAGAAATTGCTTACAGGGGAACTGTGGTGAGTTCTTATGCGTAAGTAATAGTTCTTTTTGTATTATATTAATATTATTTAATTGATGAAATGGTGCTTGAGCTGTAGTTTTTAGAGATCGCGTAGTATCGTTGTAGAATTTTATGGAAGCGCACTGCAACCGGTGCAAGGGAAATTTTAACCCATTTAAACATGCCAAGAGAATCATTTAGCAAAAGTAATTTTAAATGTTAATTATTAACAGGGATAATATTAATTTTATTTTCATTTATTTATATATATTTGTTTATTTTTTATTTATCGAAAAACACACGAGGAATAAATAGATTCATATATACTATCAGTCTATAACTCCCATCGTCACACACTTACAGAGTATAGTCATGCATCATTTTCACCACTAAACACACAGCATTTTGAGTTGCACACTATATCTTAACTATCATAGACACTATGTAACACAATCACTCTAAACATATATTTATAACTTGCAGCCATACTAGCACTCCAGCATTGTTACATATACAAACAACATCAGCATCTGACATCAACGTCATCATATACAATCATCATCCTCGTCACACATTAGCATCATCACATACCATCAGCATCATTATGGTCACCTATCAACATTAGCATCATCACACTTCAGCAGCATTACACATCCGCATTATCACATACCAAATCAGCATCGTCACACCTCAACATCATCATATATACCAACATCAGCAGCATCACACATCCTCAATATCAGCTTCTTCACACACTTTAACTTCCATGCATAAGGATGCTGCAGATTCTTAGACACAGTCAACATCATTATCTTCATCATCAAGCACACATAGACATGCTAATTTCAGTAATTTCTCCATAAACTAGTATGGACTCATAATAAGTGAGCAACTGACAGCTGTCACTATATCACTATAAGATAAATGTTCCTAGATATAATGAAATAGACAAATAAAAAACAAAACATGTGATGATTTTTTTTATAATTCTTTAAACAGCAGACAACTATTAGCTGTTAATAATAAATGTAAATCAATATCAGAAATACTGTCAGTTCTTACCATTGCTTGTGAAGTAATTGATTCTAAGGTGACCGATAAGGCCCATGGGCCTCTTGTTTCTAATCTTAAATTAATTTTTCAATGTATTTTATGCACAATATGCGTACCTCAAGTGATTTTGCTTATTATTTTAGATTTATGATCTTTACATTTATTTACTTCTTTTTTTTTTGTTTGATATTTATGTATTTTATACATCCGTCAAATGACAGGACATATTATGGTATTCTCGTCTTCCATCCGTCCATCTTCCGTCCGTATGTCCCTCTGTTCGTAAACATTTCAATGTCCCAGCGATTTTGGAATTTATTAAGCCTTAACAGATTTCTTTTAACTTTCATTGCAAGCTTAAGTACAATCAAAGCTAGATTGAGTTTGATTTCCATGATTTTTGATCCACAACTTTTAGAGTTACGGCCCATTAATGTCTGTAACCTTTTCAATGTCGGTGCAATAACTTTGCAAAGTATTACGCAATTACCATTGAAACAAATGCAATATATTATATACAGCATAAATAGTGTAGGTGATAGTCAGACAAAATCACAGGCGTATTTCGTGACCTGAAACAGGCTCTTGTTTTTTTTTTTTTTTTTTCGTGTGACAAATTAAAATGATTGTTCAATATATGAATATTGTCAGCATTCCAGTATACCTTCACAGATCCCTATTAGGATAAACTGACGGGACAGAGCTTGTTTGTTACACTATCAGAATAATGTAAATCACTCATACTGGTGGAGGAATTACAGTGATTCTAGCATTAAGTTGTATGGTTGCCAATTTATTTGCAGATAAGTCAATACCATTATTACTATTGCAGCCATGGTCTTTTGATGGCGTCGTTAACTTCACCTTGTCAGAATATCCTAATGGGGCAATATTTTGTACATCATGTGAGAAAAAAAGCATATTTACAAAATTAATAACCAGAAGTAGCAAAATCACAGGGACTTTTCGAAATTATTTTTATTATCTTAATTATCTAGACAAGCCATTGTGGCTACATATAAATATGCAAGTGTTTCTGACTTCGTTTTAAATAAAAAAAATAGTTGTGGAATGATGGCTTTTGATAATGGATATATGTATATCTAGTTTTGATATATGCTTTATTTGACAAGGAATGTCAATTTATTGTTGTTAATAAAGTTACTGTTTCAATTTTGTTGTCATTGGTCCGTTTTTCCTTGGCCCGGAACTATTTCTGAAGGCGTCTATTTGCATCAACACTGCATCGTCATGCCGGTAATTACGGGCTTAAAATAGATTTTCTGTTGACCAATTTCATTTGACAGATGGGATTAAATCCCTAATGCGTCATATCGAGCGTAATAGCTTATTGAATAAATATTTATAGCAACCTATATTGAACTTGGGGAAACCCGTTCGTCCGCCATGGTGTTTCACGTTGTAATAGCAGCAAGCTGCAAGATGAACTCGAGTAATTTTACGGATGTTTCCTTTGATTGCTTTTCATTATAACTACTGGAGCATGCATAAAACATCCTTGTGTCGTTGTCACGAAATGTAATAGATGTAGCAACAACCATTTGTACCTTAACTTTAATAAAAACATGCCAAATGTCGTATCTTTCTAATGTGAAGCCTGTTACGACGGAGATGTGAAGGGGACGTAACTCTTGGCGAACGACTACTATGTTCTAATATGCTTTACCAACAGCTGATATACCTTCCCGTTAGAAATGCCTCCAGTCCATATATGTGTTTTTAACGGAATAGCCACTTTGAGTGTACTATAGCCGTTTATATACCAGCTAGAATAACATGATATTGGTTACGTGTTGGGAAATATTTATATCACTATATATATATATATATATATATATATATATATATATATATATATATATGAATAAAATCAATCAAACGAATTGTCTTTTTTCGAGACAACCTGTCCCTTTATTAAGACACAAATATTACATAAATTACATCACACACATTAAACATAAAACGAATACAAAGTTCTAAATTTAGATGTCTCGATCGATGATCCCTTCGAAGCCCCTCTATAGCGGACAAAAAATAATCTCAAGTTGTTGTATGTCAGATGGTGATTAAAATATCAAAAATGTGTTGCACAAATCTATGCATGTTTTGCACTCTAGGCACAATATATATAGACAACTTGTCATAATGATCATGTTAAGAATGTCCACCTGTCGAAGACTTCCAAACACCCTTTTTTTGGGTATATCGGAGTGGTGTAGTTGATTAGGCAGAATGTCTTGGCAAGTCGTTTTGGGCTGTAGATCGTGAATTCGAAAATGTCAAAAATGTCTCCCTTCATCACTTGTGTTTCCATGTTCAGATATCAATTAATTAATAAAATGTATCACATACAGTAATGTATGTTGATCCGCAGGTTTCAGATTTGAATTCCCCATCGAAATTGTACGAATGTTTAATCTATGTATGTTCCAAATTGATTTCTATAACAGCATTGCCGTGCAAATGTGAATATTACACAAATATGATGTAATATATTATCAAACTTCCACAGTTGACAAACTACAGTTAAAAACTAGAACAGCGTTGAATTAATTTTCATCAGACACCTAACTTCTAAATTTGTAAAAAAAAAAAAAAAAAAGAAAATGGGTAGGGATTTCTTGTGACGCAACTAATCAAACATTGTATTACAGATCTTGCGTTTTATTTTTGTAGTTATTTCTTCATTTTTAACTACATGTATAAAAATGCCTCACTCTTATCACAGTATACAGTTTAGAGCTGAAGTAGTGTAATAAAAAAATAAAATTTATGTGATGTAGGAAGTTATTTCTTGGTGTCTAGTTTGATAAACAGTGTTAATTACCACTTTGAAGTAAAATAGTTGATTAGAGTCCCTACGGGACGTAGGGTGTCTGCGAGTGAACAAAGTAATTGATAAAAGTATTTAACAGTACATTATGTATCTCACTTCATCTTCATACGAACATAGCCAAAGAATGTCGTATTTATGGAATAAACTCGTAAATCTCCATCAGTGTATCCTCGGCGTTTGACACCACTACAAACATACATTTTGTTCTGTTATAAATAACCCCATATGGCTTTCTTATACTGTTAAGAGCTGAAATCAGATATCTGGATCGCTCACCATTGTGTGATACCTGGTACACACTTCCGGTTCTGTCCTTGTTTTCATACACGACATAGGCATTTCCGTCTTGATCCACGGCTATGCCATCTACAGGCTTCCTAACGTTGTGCCGGAACACCTCATCTCCGCTAAGTTTCTTACACACTATCTCGGTTCCTTCTGTGTGATAATATGTCCCATTCAACTCATGCTTGCCAACAAGATGAGGGAAACCACTGCAGACAGATTTATCCATCACATTTCCGTCAATGCATATCGTATCAATGCAAAACTCCCCCCCTGTTATCAAAACGTCGTCTAAAGCTGTAACAGACCAAACATTTTTGGATATTTCGATCGTTTTCATCTTAACAAATGTAGTTTCTTCAAGTAGGTCATATCGGAAAATTTTATTTCCATCTACACATACGTAAACATGTGTATTTGAACCATTAATATGTAAAGCAACATCAGTCGGTTGTCCTGATACGGAAAGTGTGGTGACATCATCAAACTCTTCACCAAATACGATTAGTCTTTTAGAGGAAAAGTCTGCGATAAGTAACCTGCCATCCTGTAAAAACGTTCCACCAGCGAGATTAACTTGCCCGAGGCCAACGTCTTCCTTAGTGACAGATTTAACGAGCTTTATGTTGGAGTGCATGGGATCTACCAAATATGAGGGATGTTTGAATCGACTAAGGTGTCTAGCCATCTGTGTCAGGATCTTTTGTATTCTTCTAGATGGCGCCTTCTGCATATCCACTTCCCCCAAGGATTCCAGAGTGACCAGTGATACCAGTGAAGAATTCATGTTGAACTTTAAGTTCAAATCAACATCCCCGGCCATTTCCAACCTGAGTTGTTGGAAGTGACTGCTAAGTTCGGATTTAATCTTCTCGAACATGACAAAAGCTTGTCGACGCGTCCCGGAACTTACTGACGTTATGACCTTGCAGCAATTTTTCACATCATTTTCAAAGGCATGGACATATTTATGCTTTTCCTCTACTTTCTGTTTTTCTGTCTCATATTTGTGTTTCATGTTATCAATCAAGGATTTTCGGAGATAATCCATTCTATCCTTACTCACGTCAACTATTTGCGTGATTTCCATGGCGATGGTTTTGACTTTCGTGCCAACATTTTCGATGTCTTTTTCTTTGAGTGCAACAATAGACTTCGTTTCACGTGTGATTTCCGCCATCTCAGAGAAGAATGCCGAGCATACCTCCTTCACATCAAACTCTTCAGAAACGTCATCGATGGAGGTAATATGTTTACATTCCCTGTGTTTGGTAGCAAAGCAGATAACGCAGCAGAGTTCCAAATGATCCGAACAGTACACCTCTAGAACTTTGCCACGATGACGTGGACAATCTTCATCAATTTCTACATCTGGATTGATCGGGACTCCCGTTTCTTCTATAAGACTAGAGCTGTGTCTTGATCGAACTTTAGTCTTCTGATGATACGAGTAACATTTTTCACAAAGCCCCTCACGACAATCGTTACACCAGTATATTGCTGTAACAGATGAATCATCCCTAACGTAACACATTGTACATTTAACAAAGTCTTTGCTTTTACTTCCTTCATCCATCAGTGTAACAATCAGATGATTTAACGGAAATGATCCAGCCCAAGATTTCTTCGACGATTTGGGATTCGGGGGTAGCACAGTCGATCGACATACAGGGCATGGGAAGTCGGTCTTGCTCTCTTGGGACGAAATGTATAGACCGAGACATTCCTCACAAAACGTATGTAAACATGGCAGCGATCGCGGTGTCCTGAATTGCTCCAGACAAATCGAACAGTCCAGTATTTCTCTGGACGGTTCAATACTTTTACGTGTACTTGTCCTTGACGCGGCCATTTGTTATCGTTGGACCAGGAACAAGTTTGATTATTGAAACCGGTGTAACGTGTAGATTTATACCTTGTAAATGCCGGTCCATGCGTCGTATTTAAGACAAATTGCTGATAAGATTATGAATCATAACCCAAGTCTATTTAAAAAAAAATAAAAATAAATTCGAAAGGCAGTGAGTTACATATATTTAACTACTTACCTTCAGTAGTTATTGACATGGTTGAGGGGAGGCAACTCTTCTACTTTCAGAGGTAAATCATTAAGACTGGATTTTCTTTCTACATGTGGCCGGATTTGCTGAAATGAAAAAGTAATAGTAGGAGTACCATATGATATTGACCACGATTTCACAGAACTTCAGGTGTCGCTGAGATAAACAGGTCCTATGCATAATTTTTTTACGCGCCAGGGGAGACACGAAAAAATCTTAATTTTGATGTGTTAGAGAAAACATGAACATTCGTTCTCCATGCCTGAGGTAGTGTATATACATATATAATGTATGGATAATACACTACTTTTAATGCGCAAGAGAAAAAACGAAAATAAATAAATAAATAAATAAAAAAAAAATCTGCATATATTGGGTGAGTGCGTATACCGGTATATGTGATACTTTTAATGGGTCATTGAACACATGAAAGTTCATATTACTAAGTGTATTTAAACTGATTTGTGCAAAGAATAGTACATTTATCATATTATGGAATGATACGGCATTTTACAAATACAAAACAATGATTTCAGATCTGACTTTATTCCTTATGGTTTTGAACTGGTGTTTAAAAGAGCCTGACTATACACTATCATCAGATATCGATGACGAAGATGTTGGTTTTATATTTGCCAATATTCGCTAGCCGAACGCCACTGACATATGTGTACAATACAAAAACGTTTAATTATTCAACAAAACGTCAGAATATCAGTAATACAGCAAAATGTGACGTTGCCAACATCTCATTCTGATTATATAGACATTTCAATTAGTTTTCAGGAATATACATTTTGATATTTTGAAAAGTATAAAGACAAAAAAGCTCAAACAGGGAAACAACTCTCGACCCGATGAAGAAACTCTCTGTGATAATGTAAAGCAGAGTTGGCATGCTATCGCTTTAATAGTTATTAGTTGTCAGTTGTTAAGATCAAATTTAAAAATTAAATAAAAAAAATAAAAAAAAAAAAAAAAAAAATCAAAATTAAACTGGTTTAATTCATTTGTCAAATAATAGATATGATTGCATTATATTGTTAGCTAGCATAGTATTCTTCATTTTGACTTTTGACGTAGGAGGGGAGGGGTTGTAATGGTAAAATCATATTTAAGTGTTCCATATCAACGCTTACCAACTCGGCTACTTAGCCAAGTCTATGATGTTACGTCATGATTAGAAAATCGCACGACTAAACACCTGCCTCCGTTTGATTCGGTCTTCAGTATTTTCGATTTAAGACCTGTCAAAATGTTAATTTGAGTTATGTGATAAATAGTGTCCCTTGGATTTTGTTTTGTTTCATTTATAAGTTGTCGAAACTCGTCTTGAAGTCTCAATTTTTGTCCGCCAAAGTTCGCAATGATTCATCTAAAAACCTTCATAAAACAAGTTACCGTATAAAGTTGTGTTTGTAGTATGTAATATTTCTTCTATTCATTTGTTAACATTAAAAAAAAACAAAAACAAAAAAAAAAAAAAAAAAAAAAAACACACACACACGAGCTTCTGGCTGTTTCCGTCACGATAAAAGAGCCATCCCGACAATGAATTGACCTTATTGTACTCGGGTTTGTTTGTTTGTTTGTTTTGGTAATGAAATCTGTTAGGACGTAATTAAATGACTTGTAAGGAAATGCCATTAATTAATGTGTTGGAATGTTATATATATTTTTTTGCAAATTATAAGGAGTAATCAATGAGCTTTTTATCTACAAAACAATACAATGGTAAATCAACTTATTGTGTGTTTTAATTTCAGGAATGCTTGAAAATCATTTTAGGTCAAAGTTCACAGTATCAACCAATCATAAATTATTTCAGAAGTAATGTTTAGCGTCTTGAGTGTTTGGTGAAACACATATATTAAGTTTGATTCTTGTATATGCCATGGAAACTCATTTACGATCATACAGCTGTATGTGTTACACATATAATATCATTCTAGCGTTCCGTTGTTTTCATCATGCAATATATTGTTTCAATATGTAATATAATATGTAAACAAGAGATCCCAGAGGGATCTTGGCGCCCACCATTTGAGGATCTGTATTCACTGCTTGAAGATTTGTTTATTTTTTGTTTTTGTTTGTTACAGCTGTTGTAAATGTTCATGAACTGGTCTTCATTGAATGTACTCATTTGAAAAAGATCCCAAAGTATTATTAGAAAGCAGTCAGTTACAGTTGGATAAAGGACAATATGCTTGTGCTGTATTACTGTCAACATCCAAGATGGCTGCCTATGGGCCACCTTGATTTCAAATCAGTCCAAAAAAGGTACAATGCACAACTAGGGACCAAGGGAAACCAATATCTATGAAATATCAGAAGGATCCATCCAGTACTTCCTCAGATATAGCAGTAACAAGATTTTACTCTCAAAATCCAAGATGGCTGCCTGTCAGCCATCTTGATTTCGGATCAGTCCAAAAAGGTATAATGCACAGCTTGGAACCAAAGGGAACCTGCATATGAAATTTGAGAAAGATCCATCCAGTACTTTCCAAGAAATAGCAGTAACAAACTTTTACATTCAAAATCCAAGATGGCCACATGTCTGCCATCTTGAATTCGAATCAGTCCAAAAAAGGTACAATGCACAACTAGGGACCAAGGGGAAACTGTATATGAAATTTGAGAAAGATCCATCCAGTACTTTCCAAGAAATAGCAGTGACAAACTTTTACTTCCAAAATCCAAGATGGCTGCCTGTCGGCCATCCTGAATTCGAATCAGTCCAAATAAGGTACAATGCACAACTAGGGACCAAGGGGAACCTGCATATGAAATTGGAGAAAGATTTATCCAGTACTTTCCAAGAAATAGCAGTAACAAACTTTTACATTCAAAATCCAAGATGGCTGCCTGTTGGCCATCTTGAATTAGAATCAGTTTAAAAAAAGGTACAATGCACAACTAGGGACCAAGGGAAACCAATATCTATGAAATATCAGAAGGATCCATCAAGTACTTCCACAGATATAGCAGTAACAAGATTTTACTCTCAAAATCCAAGATGGCTGCCTGTCAGCCATCTTGATTTCGGATCAGTCCAAAAAGGTATAATGCACAACTAGGGACCAAGGGGAAACTGTATATGAAATTTGAGAAAGATCCATCCAGTACTTTCCAAGAAATAGCAGTAACAAACTTTTACTTCCAAAATCCAAGATGGCTACCTGTCGGCCATCTTGAATTCGAATCAGTCCAAAAAAGATACACTGCACAACTAGGGACCAAGGGGAAACTGTATATGAAATTTGAGAAAGATCCATCCAGTACTTTTCCAGAAATAGCGGTAACAAACTTTTACTTCCAAAATCCAAGATGGCCACCTGTCGGCCATCTTGAATGCGAATCAGTTCTAAAAAGGTACAATGCACAACTAGGGACCAAGGGGAACCTGCATATGAAATTTGAGAAAGATCCATCCAGTACTTTTCCAGAAATAGCGGTAACAAGATTTGTTTACGGACGGACGGCGAGACGACGGACCACGGACGCAGGGCGATTTGAATAACCCACCATCTATTAGATGGTGGGCTAATAAAATCCGGGTATCAAATGTCACGTGAACGGACATTTAGCCTCATCGGTGTCTTGTTATCAGGCAGGAGTTCAGGGACACTTGATAAACTTTAGCCGGTACATGTTACGTGTTGGACATATGATACAGTCCATACTACACTGATTTCCCGTTTCTCTTCTGTAACCGAGACCTTCCAACATGGCCGATCAGGAAAAAACTCGCGTGTGTTTGATAGCTGTAGATGGAAGTAAACATTCAAATCATGCTCTCGAGTGTAAGTATTTGACATCTGAGAGACGATCCCGCAATTTTGTAGGCTACTTGTCAGTCTCAGTATTCATAACAATGCTACAGTGCGTATCCCGTTTTATGATTGCATGAGGCGACTGATGCGAGACCTCTGATAGAATTCTGGGATTTCTTTTTCAGAGCCTTTTGATGAAGAGGCATTTGTATACAAATTGTTAGAGAACGGTTTAAATGGTTCTGTTGGTCCTATAATTCGTATTGCAAAATTTTATATATCTGTTCTGCACTCTCTTACGTACTGGAAAATTGGATATGGGTTCAGTATTAAAAGTACGTGACATACTGTGCATTTGATCCTTTCTTCATTCAGGTCTCTAATTTTGAACTCAATAATATTCAATTGCCGTATATTCCATAATTAGAATTTATAAATGTCCATGCTATTTTTTTGATAACTCAGACACTTGTGACGCCTTTTCCTAATGCTTTGACAGGGCAAGTTGATATCAAAACACCCCCTGGTGATCTGTCACCGTCGGAGTGTACGAGGCAGCCAGGTTTTAATCTCTTACCTTGACCATGACATACACCACGTAGTTCATAGACGTACAGGTCAGATAAAGCATGTACACAGCTTACCGTTGTATATAGACTTGTAACTTTGTATGTCTGATACCTATATTCCATTTTAATGACGTGGCGCAATTTCTTATATGTGCAGAACACTGCACAGTAAGACACGACAACACCAGGTTACAGCTCACTTCACTTCGAAACAATTCCATTCGCATTGTACTACTTAGCTGTAAGATCACCACCAAATAACACCAGGCCCCACTTGTATAAAACATCTCAACTGGAGATTTCCTCAAGTCGAGATGTTTTATACAAGTGGGGCCAGATTATTTAACAACACAAAACAGGAACGCGGCAAATCTGCCACGATGTTGTCATGCCGTCAAAAACATTAAAACTGTGCCGTGTAAAGCATGTGCCAATTGTATGAACACTTAGTGAAACACTTATGGCTTCATTGTGGTAACTATTTGTTTTTTTACTTTCAAATACAAGTCAAAGGTCACGATCAGTGTCATGAGGTAAAATTTTGGCACCACCAGAAATGTCTTGTGGCAAGGAACACACATGCCCGATATGAAAGTCTTATGATGCAATAGATATGAGAAAGGTTAAAGTTGACAACAGAAAAACAGACAAGACACACACAATATGTCCTTTTTATGATCTTTTCATTTCTTTTACTCACGACATATTAAGATACTTAGGCCGTAGAATAAAGAGAAATAACCTGTATACTTTTTATGTGTAAGAAAATTTACTTTTTCGAACTTCTTTGAAAATTGAAAAAGAAAAAAAAAATTGAGTAAGATATTAGTGATGACTGCCTAACATTGTCTTCTACAGAGCAACGGTTAATCCTGATTTCGAAGTCTATTGCATTTGTATTTCATTAATTCTGACTTTAAAATAAAAATCATTGTTTACGTCATGCAGTAGAAGAACGTTATCAGAGACGCGAGTGCGTCATCGCCAGAAACCTTCATTAATCTAACGAATTTTTATATTTCACATTCGCTATTACGGCCTTTCAGCTGACAAATTACCAGAAATCAAAACATAAATGCTTTGGTCCTACACCTGTACATGTCGCTCCAAGCTTGAGTGCGTGTGATAATTGGAAGTCCTGTTAAGAGAGCAATGTTCCAAGTTCATAAATTATGATTAGACTGGAGTGTCAGACTGTTTGGTGCAAAGCTCCGTAGTTGATTTTTGTCTGTTAAGATATGATTTATTAAGAATATCACTGCTGAAGAAGGTCATGACCCCGACGAGTATATCTAAGAGTTAAGTCTGACATAGATAAGATTCGTCAATAACAGACACAAAAATCTATAATAATTTTGAACTTGTGACATCAATGATTCACCACACAGCAGTTGTGATTTGATGTTGCTACGTGTTATCAAGAGGAAAAATAACGAAATAACGACACGGCTAGAATATACACTGTTATACAGTGTGACAGTATTAATAATGGATTTGTTTAAATTTTACGCATACGTTAATCATATAAAAATAATCCAAAAAAATGAAAACTGATTATATCCAACTCTAAGATAAGATACAAAAATTAGACTTATACTAATCCAGAAGTACACTCCACATTGGACATCCGGACACAGATTTGTTTCGCAAATTGATTAAATTTCTGAAGAGCTTGTTAACACAGTAGTGAATTGGGTGCTAGAGTCCAGATAGTAACATCGAATACTCTTAATTCTGAATACTTCATCGTTGTTATTACTTATTTTAGTAAGAGACATTTTCAAGGTAAACACACATAAAACAATAAATACTTGTCAAGTTTAATTGATAATATAGGACGGTAAGGTGGTGATGAAGATGTTGCCAAGCGTTTGCAAACCTAAACTCACTGAACACTCCACACACACACACACACACACACACACACACACACACACGCACGCACGCACACACACACACACACACACACACACACACACACATATGTTTACAATTCCAGATCTTAAACGAAACAAAACATGCATGTCCATACTATGATCAATACAGGTATATACGGTGTCTTGTTTACAGTTAATGTATGCTTTGCCAGGGGCTAAATAATAAAAATACGACAAGGTACATTTGTAGATTCTAACTTGCGGGAAAAAGACTCTATGCCCTCGCAGGTGTGACCTTTGTGATATACAATATATTTCACGAAATTGATAGGATATACATCTCTGCTTTAGCCATATCGATTTAATGAGCAGAATCAATTGTTTTAATAATTTTTCACAATTACTACCTCAGTATAGGTCTGACGTAGATAACCCCGTTTCCAGCGGCAAGTCGGCACTTCGGTGTTCGGTGTTGCTTCATCCTTTTTCACTGCATATGTCGCTTTAGTCTTTTGTCTCTTTTATCTCGGAATGAAGTTTCCGTATGGAATGTGGTCAATATTTTTATTTCATAATTTATTGTTTTCAGGGTTCATAAAACATGTTCATAAACCCAACGACCGCACCATTCTGATCACATGTGTCGACCACTCCACCGCTTTCGCCTACGGCAGTAAGTACAGCGTAGTATTTGTCTTTGTGGGACCTGGCTATTTACGTCAAACCTTATTTTTACTGGTGGAAACCATATGCATTAATTACATGTACAAACTTAGGTCAATTAACGAACGAGAACCGTAATGATAACGTATATTAACAACTTTGTTCGTAAATATTACCGCACCGTAACAGACGAAATCGACGAACTTGGTAATCAAGTATGTTATGGCGATGATAATGATTTTGTGACAAAAACACGTTTGAAAATAAATTTGTTCTGTGATAAATTGATAGCTTTGTACAGTTACTTATTTTTTTCTAATGATATTTCTGAAGTCCAACAACATCGTATATGTCATTACACCGTGTATTGATACCTAAGTGAAATGACAGGCGGCCAGTTTTATTGGCCTCTGTCTCATATGCTACATTTTGTCGTAATAATGATATACAGGCGAATACAGCATATAATGTAAATATTACATTTATATCTACTAGGATTACTTTTTGGTGGACTTCTCGCCTTGACCACCGAATAAGTATTCATACGCTTGACTAGATGGACGTTCATAGTCTGATATACTCCCAATTGGTTTACATAGAACTAAACTAGGAAACTGATAGTATAATGGATATATTTCTACATTGATAGATTTCCAATAGAAAATTAGTAATTTAACCGGATGTAGTCAGCATAGATAAGCTTTTCTTTCAAGTAACTGCAATCATGAGATAATGACTTGTTCAAGAAAACTGCAAAATCCAATGAAAAAAACCCATTGTGCCATTACTTTTGTTATAGTAATAATGTTTGGAAGATGTAAAATGATATGAAACAGGAAATGCTGAAAGAAAATAATCTCAGCCTAGATATCAATATGAAAGTGATTAACAACATGCAATTTCCGTGCCTACTTCGATAGTGTTGTTTGCGTTGTGTCCAAGCTGTAAATCCATATCGAACTTCCAAGATTATCTTCTTTCTTTTGTTTTGTAGATGTTTCCATGGTTCCGGGAAATCCTGACGCAATAACGATGGCCTATAGAAAAGAAGAACATAAGGCGAGAGATTTGCTGAAAAAACTGGAGGAGCTTGTTCTTAAACACGGAGTAAGGTTTCATTTTCCTATACTTTAACGTTGTATACTGTGTTGTTTGTAGCCACACTGAATTTATTTTCTGAAATATTGAAATAGATTAACTTCTAATGTTAACATATTGGATGTCTGATTCAAAGTGTCGTCATACTGGGTGAAAGGGTAGGATTTGGAGACAGACTGAGAGGTGCAGTGCAACATTGAAAATCTTTATGAAAAACTTGTTGGTTCGAATCTTATTTCTTTTTACCCAGTAAAAAGCTACAGAAATATAATGCGATATTCAATAATATCATACTAGTTTAATGTCAACTAGGAAGGTGTGCCGTTCAAATTCTATATAGCTGAATGTGGTTTACAGGTGGTTGCGGAAACTCTGAGAGTCTCTGGCGATGCTGGAGAGGCTATAGTGAAGGTAGCAGCAGAATATGAGGTGGACATGATTGTGACCGGATGTCGTGGTTTGGGCCAGATCCGGCGAACGATGATGGGCAGTGTCAGTGACTATATAATTCATCACTCCCATACACCTGTACTTGTCTGTCGCCACGATTAACATCTTTATCAATATCATTTTTTAATAGAAATGTTACAGGAAGACACAATTTACAAATAAAAAGTAACTTACTTTACCGAATACTAGTTGTGTTATAAGTGCAACACATCCACTTTCGTACATGAAATGAATGTCAGAAAAATACTGTATAAAAATAATACATCACATATTTTAAACATTGGTGTGATTCCTCAGTATGAATGTGTTCGATCTGGTGTTAGGAACTGTTTATCTTCATATCGATAATTTGAATTAAATGAATCAAAATTATTGAGTATATTGTTTCCAAACATAGGTGCATGCAAATTTTTTTTAAAGTTTTAAAGCAATCAAAATATACGCACGAGGCACGATAATTCATCGTGATGCTCCGTAACGAATTATTTGCCTCGCTCAAAGCTTAATCGCTTGCCGAACGATGAAGTTCACTTTACAGATGAAGTTGAAATCAGATCATACCATCAGCTTAACACGGACTGTAAACATTTACTTGCTTCTTTTACATAGAAATAGCCAGAAGTCATTTTCTCTCTGTCGTGGTTTAAAACGAGAGATGACATTTAAGTGATTGTCTCTGCTAGTTATATATACCAAAACATCCACATCATTACTGGTATATGGAACACGTGGATGTCACGATTATCTTTAAAGATAGCCGATCATACTGTGTAAGTTTTCAGTTGAAAGTAGTGTTAGAACACAGAGATTAAGATTCATCATGATGGATTTAGTTCGCTTCGAATTCCTGTAAGAGTGAATGATAATAGTGAAAATAAGTGGGGAAGAGGAGAGTGTGGAATTAGATCAAACTTGTGTATAACACAGTGTAATGTTAGACTCTTAGCACAGCACATTCCGTAGTACCAAGTTGAAGGGGAATCACTTACCATTTATGATCCGTTAATTAACTGTTCGTGGTATTCCATAGATGAGCCTTGTGATGAAATTACAACCCATATAGACTAACAGAATTCGATTGTTGAAATGCAGGAGCGAAACGGCATTTATTATAAATCTATTATGTAAATAATAATGTTCGGACGAGATGGTTTCATTGATCGAGACTGTCTCATCAACAGACACTGCGTTGCCCAGGCTTAACCTATTTCGCTTGTTAAGCAATCTAAAACGGCGTTGTGAACTAGCTTGATGCTTGTGCAGTTTGTTTGCGATTTACATTTGAGTTCTGGAACAGGATGTCGGAAAACCCACTGGTTGTGCTGATCTGTATGGATGGAAGTAAACACTCGGATTACGCTCTAAAATGTAGGTATATGTGAGTGCTAGGATGTGTGAGGGGTTGTGTGTGTGTGTTTGTGTGTGATTCAAGTAATGGTTACTGTGTTATGAAAAGTTTAGAATCATTTGAGATTTGTGATTCGTGTTACTAAACAAGTCCCTCAGATGTACATGTACTTACGTAAATATGTCACAGAAAACAATGGACAGCCATTCTAACACTTTGGTTAATGAGCTATGAGTTGTGAATATATCACTTTCATTTAAGAATATTTTGTTATGGTTTTACTGACAAAAGAAATTGGGCAACAGGTGTAGCCTTCGAAAGCCCTATCTTTGAGTTAAAATGTCTGTGACCGCAATTGTAGTACATAAGCCTCCTTTGACTCCAACCAATATTCTATATACATAGAAAGTAAAAAGTAAATGTAATGCAAATTTAGAAAATCTTTAGTTTAAGTAACTTTACATATATATACATTACATACACGCATGCATGATACTAGAATGACGTCAATTGTCCACCATTATCTAAATTCAATCGACATCACTTCTTAAAAGTCTTAAAATAGGAAATATGCGAAATGAAATGCATGTAGATATTTACGAGATTTAAAAGCTCGACATTTAGACGAATCATTGTGAATTCTCCAGTGAAAATGCGAAATCCTTCGTGTACCTATTTAGATCCGACGTATTAAAGAAACAAAGGAGGTTACCTTGTGTCCAGTCATGTAAGAACTGAAAAACCATTGAAATGCAGTTGATTATATATTCAAGGAATTTTCCAAATATCACTATGATCTTGCAAAATGTCATCAACCTGAGATCACATGATCTCATAAAGATGCAGTTGAACCTCGTTATCTCGGAGTCAGCGGAACCGTGGAAAACTTATCATCCATTTTTTCGATCTAAGTAATATAGAGTGATTTGTGTAAAGGTTTGACAGTATATTCTATTTTATTGTGGAATATAAAGTTACTCTTGTTTGATGCTCGTTAGAACGCCCGATGGTACCGTTGCTGTTAACCATCTTTTCATTTAAAGATAAAATTGAAGTAGAAGATGATTACACTTCCAGAATACCTGGTCTTATTCCTCTACATGTAAATCTTGTTATTCACATTCTCAAAATTAAAATAAGATAATAACTTGCTGATTAAAAAGGCTGATGAATGAGATCAAATTTAAGGATATAACTATACGGTCAAAATAGATATTTATCAACTTTTTAAATAAATTTTAATTTGATCATGTTGATTCTAAACAAACGACTGGGCTAAAAATGATTTTAAGAGATTGGCATAATTTTATTGACACAAAGTATGTTTTGATGATCCTTGGGAAGGAAGCAACCCATTGTGTGCCTCGGTCATTTGATTAATGGTCTGTTAGCATGTCCATTTAGTCTCTAGCACGTTCTGATAATGGAAAGGAGACTTTGCAGCGAGTAAGATGAAGTTGTTTGTACCATTCTAGAGCATGATATCTGATATCCGTTTAATCCTTTATTTGTCCTTTCCATAGTACTAAAAGTGGCATCTGTCTTCCTGTGACCTTCATGCCTGTCATAGTTTGACCTTGATATGTATTACAATATGGCCATCAGGAGGATTGATAATGCTAACAGACATTGTAAACAAACAAATATTACCGATGCGAACCAATCCTCCAATCCAAAGAAAGGGTGATTTGTTTACGTAACATCTATTCTCTTTACGCACGCATGTGCTGTCCATGTTTGCAAACCGCGTGCAGCTTGTATAAATCCCAAGCTTATGTGTACGTCCAGAGACGAACATTTTACATTTATATTGCCCTTTAATGTCTCATTAAGTTGGATGATCAAAGCTTACTTCAATCAGGCATCCATTAGCAGACAGCGCCGAGAGTGCTTTCACTATAGATAGGTATTCCAGGGAGAGGGAGAGAGAGAGAGGACACTGACATGAACATTATGTGTGGCGGCTCTCACTATTCACATTGTAATTACTCCCGCGCAAATTAGAACATATATCAAATATCCAAATTGATTTTGTTCTCTTGTTCATATTTGTAGAGCGTCCCAAAAGAGTATTTTCTAATTGATTAAGATAGAGACGAATTCACCACTGATGTCGGTGTTAATTTGACTCGTTTCAAATTGTCACAAAATTAAACTGATGCATTTTCTTGTGTTGTACAGTCTATCGGGATTACATCCACCAGCCAAATAATAGAGTGTATGCCGTTCATTGCGCACACTATCATAATGAACACTGGCACAGTAAGTACCTATTTACAATATAATGAACATCGCTGCCAATCACTCGATTGCTTCTGGTCGGTGAACATTCCAGATTAACCACTGAAGTGTCGATAGCAGATTTTCTGATACAACAAAATGAAGTCCTTATATATCAAACATTTTATCTCACTGCTTGTTACAGAGTTCTCTATGACGCCTTCCGATCCTGCTGTTATACAATTAATGATAGACCAAGATATCGCTAGAGTTAGTAAGGTTGTGGCGCACGTGAAAGACACTATAAGTGACTTTAAAGTAAGTGATAGCAGAAAATACCATGGCATATGTCAAATACACTGTATTCATTGTATCTTCAGGTCAGTGCTGTCTTTCAAGGATAATCGGCCGTGTTTAAGTATAACATTGTTATGCTCGACAACCTACTTAGATGGGAATAAATATGAAATAGACTCGGGCAATCAATGCAGAGCTTCATCAATATCAACATTTTGACAGTAAAGAATACTTCCATTTTTGTTCATGGTGCTTATAAACGTATTAAAGGTAATTCAAAATTGTATAAAAGACTCACAAGTGAATAGGACCATTTAATACAAATTTAATACAAAAGTAGAGCCAAACAATGAATTAAACTGCACCATACAGCTGTTTCGTCCTTCTAGGACTTGTCAGCGATGCTATGGGCTTAAATATTAAATCTAAGAGACATATCCAGGGTGATCGAAAGAAATGTTAAAATACGCATGTAATGTAGTAAAGATTACTATATATCGTACTCAAATTGGTCGTATTTTGGTTTGCAGCTGAGTGCTGAAATCATTAAAGTCACTGGACATCCGGGCAATGCACTTGTTGAAAAGTCTAAGGAAATCGGTGCCTCGTTGATCATTGTTGGGTCACGTGGTGTTGGAACCATTCGGAGGACACTTCTAGGAAGCATATCGGATTATATAATACATCACGCGCACGTGCCAGTTCTGGTTTGTAAACATCCCCAAGATATATCATAAATAAGTGATAATGGCATTGTAATTCATATTGGATGTCTAGACACATCTGTCAGTGGTTAAATACACAGCGTGTCTTAATAGTCCGAAATAACTACTTAATAAGCCAATATAATGATCATACAATGGATTAGTACAATTATAGTTTTCTAACCATATGAATTAATTTATGGCATGTATCCTATATCAACAATATATTTAGTGCTACGGAAGAATTTATGATCAAGAACGTATAATTACATTTTATTTGAGACAAAACATTACTATTAGGGATTTATGAAAGATAACGAGTACCACATAATATTTAGACAATATTGTTACGATGGGAATTAGGATAGATAACGAATATCTACATTATTTTTAGACAATATTTTGACGGGGAGATTTAGGATAGATAATATTATATTTAAACAATAGTACAGCAGATTTTGTCTAGACGTAAATTGCAGCTATTGATCATCAACATGGAATGTTCATAAAAACAGTAAATACATTGTTGTAACCTCGGAATAAACAATCTTGTTATATGTTTATTTATGACAAATAATTGTCGTCATTATGACTATGACATTGTTATTGTACACTAAATTTGATGATAATTCACGATATAGCTACACTGATATATTATCATGTTATTATATTTCTTAGTCACGATTTTATCTTTATCGGTTTGCTAAATCAAGCATTCAAGACACTGATAACATCAAAATCATAAGTTGGCATATACAGTGTATGCCATACATTGTACACAAGTAGATAAAACATAAAATAGTAGTATTACCAATATTATCGGTTCATGTGATATAGGATTTGTGTTCTCAGAAGACTCCTCACAGATTCATATACTTTAGTGTCTAAACAAGAAACGAATACTCTATACTTCATTGAAGACACATGCGCAAATAAATTCTACATAGCTTTCACAAACCGATCTTTCTCCTGAAACTTTGTTCGAATCCGCTGTAGTTAACCTTGTAATTGTTTGTTAGCTTGTGGTTATTGTCCTCAGTTGATCAAGATCCCTTCGAGTTTAGGTTGGAAATGAGAATCTGTTTAAATGTTGATATCATTCTTGTTGTTCTTGTATGATAAACTGGATGCAATGTTTAGTCGATGGCTAACATGTTGGGAGGCTTTATTGTCGTGATAATTATCTCATTTAGAATTATCCTATTTCAGTGTACGATAAGTTGGCGTGTGTGATGCTCATTATTATGCATGGTTCCATTGTGTTTTACTTTGTGTTTAAGTTGGGAACGTGGCATTACCTTCCTGGATTGACCAATATTTACGTTGCGGGTGTCGTTGATGAGGCAAAGGAGGCTTAATAACCTTCCAAGCCATTTTTATTTATTTATTCCATCAACATTCTATTAATATGTTTGTATTTTCATTGTTGTTTTTTGTGTTATATCAATTATTTCATTATTCAAGAACTTCTAGATGCATGTTTTTATCTGACAAAATAGGTAACTCAGTTGATACTTATCCGTAATTGACTATGCATATATTAACTTCTTTTTAGTTTCGTTCACTGTTTCAAAAGTGAAAATTCACAAATGCAAGAACTTCTTTCTTCATTCTTATTTTCTCGCTTTTTTAGAGCCAGGGAGGTATATGTCAATGTTTATTTTGACCATTGTAGCGATTTTGTTTTGGGTACACTCAAACCAAATCAATGGGCAATGATTCTTACTCTGGTACCTCTCAAGACATCGTGCACAGAAATTTGAAGAAACCCGGTATGTTCATAATATCAAGAAAATATGATTTATTCACAAAGTATATATATACGATTTAATATATGTTTCCCATGGATGCACATGCAGCTAAGACATTACATCAAAATATTCTTCTAAATTACTTGTGTCCTATAAAGTTAATTTTCTATCAACGCTTGAAACTTTAAACCGCCTTCCTGCTCCATGCCCATAAAAAGTTCAATGTGTCCTGTCGATGTCCACATTGTTTTATGATTTCCTAATTTTTGAAAGTGTGTGATGATATTATCGTATTGTTTCATTCCATATTCAATTTTCACTCAAACAATGCCACGCTTCCATAGCTGTAAAGAGACATTACATTTCTGCTGTAATTCTATGATTTTTAAACACATTTTCGAAAGATAACATCCTTAGCCTTCTTGAACCTTCTAGTAATTCCGTGGTACCCATGGATACAGGTAATTCTTCATTACAATTTAAAGCGTTTTCGGCAAGAAGTGTAAAAGTGGATACCACATTGTGCTGAATTAACACCACACTTCAAGGATTATTTCCCTGCTCTGACGTCATCACAGATAGCCTCTTACTGCTTGTAAATTTGACAAACTTTCGTTCATTCCTTAGCATTATCATACATTGAAAAGGGACTTCCCCATATATGTTTTTAACACTATTGTTTTCCTTTTATCTTAATCGTATTGTTACTAAGTTTCCCCCTCCTGTTTGTGATTGTGATATGTAAGCTTCTGGTAATGGTACCTAACGTTGATGACAATAGTTTCCGTCTGTTACAAAATCAACACAACATTTATTATATTTCTAAAATGTCTCTTACTGACAATATGAACAGAGAGGAAACTGCCTTCACATTTCATTCATGAAGTTGATGTCAAGCTCCCTATGATCTTCATGAGAAGCAGATGAATGATACACTAAACAAGGACAAATACACTTTGTGGCAAACATTCTTTTTAATGGGGCATAGCTCGACGTTTTAACAAAGGAATTTTTAAACTAATCGTATCAGATGTCGACAATGATGTGTCCCCTACGATTTAATGATGTTATAAAAGCGTCTCGTTTTTTCAGTCTGTTAGTTTGCTTATTAAAGGAAAACAACAAAATCTATCCATATATTGTTGATGTTCTGCGAATTTTGAAATGAAAAACATATATCTAGAACTTTTGAGAAAACGTTTTTTCTATTTTTGTTTTGACGATTTAGAATTAAGCATCGACCACTCGCTTTAGTTATTTAGTATTGTCAGACATCATTACCTTTGTCTATTAAATGAAACGAGAGAAAAGTTATTCTTTACTTGCTACATAATCTTATAATAATAATTCATACAACAGATCTTGTTATAATTAAACATACATGTTTATCATTAACAACATGTTATAATTCATGCAATTACCTTATTGAATACTTTATATGACCAGACGCTAACATTGTAGTGTTCTTGAATAGCACATGTCTTTTCATGATAAATCCACCATTTCTGTTAAATAAACGAGTGTGTTGATGAGATTAAGTTACCATATACGTAAAATACTTTTGTATGCAATGACGTTTTGCCTACGTCATATATTTTGTAAACGATACAATGTCGAAAGTGTTGTATTACAATCAGGTCTCCATGACCTATATCTACCTAAATGCATGAATCTGGGTATCTGAACACATGCGTCCATGCGTATGTCTACCTTAAAGCCAGTGATGTATATGAAGTGACCAGATAAACAGCCTTAGCGCCAGCCAGGTAGAAATATTAGGACGAACTGGAGCGATAAACGGGCAGCTCATTTACCTATAGATATAAGCAACACGACGCTAACAAACGCACACCTCAGGTACGGTAACAGTACTTGTGTACACACGTGCTATCTGAAGATAATAGAAATGGACGACAAAAAGACGGTTAGCATGGTGGATCATAAAACCATTGTCGCTGTATGCATGGACGGAAGTAAGCACTCGGACTACGCTTTTGAATGTAAGTTATTTCTTAAAACCCCTGGATATCTATTAGTTGTAAACGTGTACATAAATAACACATATGTGATACGTGTACCGAGTCGTTAACCGCGTGTTGAAAACGTATGAATTACACTGGTGTTTTATCAATATTACGTATGCTGTGTTATGAGGTATACGTAAACAAAAACTTGATTGATACCATTTGAGTTGGTATTAACTGAAAGTATGTAGTGTGTAGTGGCTGTCGTCACGCCTCCTGAGCACGGGCAACAACTTACTCGAACCTTTCGAGCTCGTTTAGTGAGAGCAGTATCAATGCTGGCCATGCATTATTATTTTTTTTTCACTGAAAAAATATAAGTCTCTGGACATGATATATACTAAGCATGATTCAACATTCATAACCATCTGGAAAGTGACAGAACATACAAGAACAGAATGTACATAAAAGATTAATAGTTTTATTCAATATCTGGTAAAATAAATTATCTATATACATGAATGATAATGCAAGTTTTATGAAAGATAGAATCAATATGTTTACTAAGTAAATACATGGTTGAATTGATTTCAGCATACGGTATATCTAAATTAATATTCTTATCACTCCTTGAGTGGTCCATTGTAATCTAAAGGAATACATTGATGGGTGTATATTTTTATAAACTGAAAGATGTGTTATTTCAATAGCTGTAGCAAACGAGTTATGTCAAATGAAGACAGTGAGGAGAAAGTGTTTCTTAAATATAGACATCTTATATCTAGTACATTAATTGCGGACGTTCGTTCTGTATGCTATCCGTGTTTTAAAATTCTAACAAGTAACCAGCACCCCTCTCATTGTGACAACACAGATTTTCAAAAATTACACAAGCTGTTGCTGGAAAAATAAAATGACTGAAATAAAGCATGTTCATTTTGATATATTACAGTCGAATCTCGTAATCTCGAACTTATAACTCAAAGACCCCGTTTAATTCGAAGTTTTCGTCAGTCCCGGCCACACTTCACACTCACTGTATTCGAATATTTACATAACTCGAAATTTTCCCATGTTCACGTCGACGTCAGATTAATGAGGTTTGAGAGTAAATGAATGTTTTCGAAAATAGTGTTTCGTTCCGTCGACAGATTTTATCAAAACATCATTAACTAACCAATATTTTATTACTTTCTAAGCAAAAGCAATGTCTCTGTTATTTGAACGTTATGATAATTCCTTCTTAATCATTCATAGTTTACGCAATGTTTGGCATTTGATTGGTTGGCTTCCTAAATCTTGATACACAAAAACGATCATGGGTCGTACCGTGCCTATCAACATCACACACATTTGTGACATGAACACAAATCTTGCCCACATAAATATGATAATAACAATCATTATCACAATTCCTTAGCCTGTGTGTATATTTTTATCACAGATTACATGGAGAAAATCCATCGCCCCGACAACGAAGTCCATATTATCCATTGCGGTAATTACAAGGCCATGGAGAGTTTATGTAAGTAGAACGATATAATGAGGAAAGTCTAATGATATTTATCATGGACTTCGCTGTTGTTCACTACTTTTCATAAATACTGAAATCTTCAAGCAAACCATTATAGTCCGAACATCATGAGGAGTTATGTTTCTATTCCAATGAATTAACTAAATATGACCCCAGGTAAATGTTACAGTACGATGTTACATTACACAACATTTCAATTAAAACTACTCGAGCTTGGTATTGTAGTGGCGCCGTGTTAAAAATGTACATGTTTATCTTTATTAGCTATGTCTATGGCTCCAGCCGACCCAGGATTATTACAGTCTGTTATTGATGACGAGGAGAATAAAATTCGTGAAATAATGGAGCATATCAAACAGAAACTTCTTGATTATCACGTAAGTTTAAAACAGGTCCTCATGTTTACATACAGCCATCAAAAATATAATTACTTTTTTCATTTTTGACAACAACTTGTTACTCTGTCTTCCCTGAATTCTAATGACCGATATTTAAAAAGTTGAATTTCCCAAGGATTCGATATTCGTAAAATAAATTTCATAGTCGATAATAGGGTTTGATACCCGGCTGGTTTTGAGATCAGTAGTTAATTTTAAATTTTAAATGTGCGCTGTAATCAATTCCTTTATTGATCTGATAATGTTTCCTATTCTGTCAACTTGCAAACACTGGAATTTACAGAGTGTATTTTGTAGAATGATACTTTTGATATCTTAAAATGACAATTTTTAGTAGCAAAGGATGAAAATTTGACTGACAATCAATACCGTGTAGAATGAATATCAAAATATACCAGCATGATATGATGGAAACCCTGTGCTTATCAAACTGTTCAGCTTCCATTTTATGTTCATTACAGCAGCACGCCTCCATCTCTAGAATCCATGGAAATGCAGCTCATGTCCTGCTACATAAATGTAATGATATTGGTGCTAAAATGATTGTCATTGGGTCACGTGGTCAAGGGAAGCTTCGAAGGACTTTCCTTGGCAGCGTAAGTGACTACATTGTTCACCACGCTCACGTGCCGGTCATTGTGTGTAAACACGAAAGCCATTTTCATCCTCATCACGGACACACAAACCACTAACGTATTCGTTTCTAACAATTATGTTGGTTATTTAGGAAATCCCATGACTCTATGGATTTACATGTATATATACACATATATATGTATACATATGTGTATATTTATACCTACATATATACATATATGTATATGAACATGTATATCATTCTTGAAATTTGTATATGGTTTGTATCGTTACTCTCACAGCTGTTGCATAAAGTGAATTTTAAATAAAATTTAAGTGCATATAAGATCCAGAAAATACTAACAATTAACGGAATCGTAGTCCGGCTTATTGTTTTTATTAATAATGAAAGTTAATAATCAAAATATGATTATTTTTTGTACTTATGTATTAACTTTATAACAGCATATAAATTTGGATCTTACAAGTTATTTGATATACTCTATTACCAATTGTCATAACAAAATGTTTATCTCATCATGTATCAGTGAGTGTTTGATATACCATTCTAAATTACCATTATTATTATTATTGAATAACGATATTTCACGTTCTGTACAATTTCATTTAACATTGTATGGGAATGGCTAAACGACTGATGATATTGTACGATCAATATTGTCAGCATACGGTTAACAGACTTTTATTAATGTTTTTTTTTTAATATCGTGCAGGAGGTAACTTTTTTGGAAAGTACTTGCATTTATTTGTATACAGAGATAAATGTCTGTTAATTGTTTACTATAACATGTTAATAAATAATTGTAATCTATTCAATTTTCTCTGTGTTTTATTTAAAAACAAAGGAATGAAAAGAAAATACCTGCGTGTCAACACAATCATAATACTTTAATAAAACTATGGTAAAATATGAACAAATGAACGATTTACACGGCGACTCCTGCAAAAACTACAAGGGGAATGAGACCAGTTTTTTCCCGGAGGAGAAAGCGTCTTCTGCTTCATCAAAGAAACTCACCATGTAAACTTTGGTCAATCCAAGTAAGTCATGTCACATTCTCAAATGAGAATAAAATATTTAACAACGAGACCAACAGGCAAAATAACGAGTAACAACCACGTCCAGCTTCATGTTACACAAAGGAATAGAATATTTCTATCACTCTGACGACCGAAAAAACACATATATATCACAAATTACACAATCATTTAACAAAAATAAATGTATATGAATTTCCATAAGACACGCATGAAAATCACTTATATATACCAAACCTTCGTTTATTGGGTCCTCGAACAGGACAATGCAGCGCATCAAAAGCAGCGTTCTAATTGGTCAAAACTGCTAATGTCATATTACTATTACATATTACTAATAACATCTTATCAATACTAGTGAAAATGTAAGACTTTATATTATCAGTGCGATAATGATGTCAATTTTTATGAACTTTATAAATCCTTGCATTTCACTGGCAGAAATGTTATGAAAATGTTATGGATGTAATCAAGCAGAAAGTATTTTTGTTTTTATTTGGCAAGCACTATGTCACAAAGTTGCTATCTTGTGAAGACAGTTTCATGGCTAGATAACACTTTCTGATAAAGATCTTAAAATGCTATGTTCCACATAAATGATCATTATATCAAAATTTGTAGATATTGATCGTAGTATCTTGCACAAAAAGACACATCATGGCGAATAGATTTTATGTTAATCAGTTAGACCACATGCATAAAACTATTAAGGAAAATGTCCATTTCTCAATCAGCAAATTATTAGCATATATGGAAATAGCAGATTACAGTTAAGTGTATATAAGGTAGAATTATTTAGATATGAAGACATTGCCTAAAACTGAAAATTTGGAATGTGACATAATTTACAAGTGTAACAGTATATGAGTTATAGACAAAGAGCGATCGACTGAAGAATATTACAAATGTTACAACAGAGAAAATCATCTGCCTATACATTTACATGTTGTAATGATTTACTAGTCAAGTATTTAAACGACAAGTGTATAATTAAATCATTAATTGGCCATTGTTTAAAATTGTGAATGAAATATAGATACTTGGAACTGGGAATTAATATGAATTTAGAGGAATTATGTTGGTACTCTTATTTCGGTCGATGTCCCTTAATAAGCAACCATGTCTTTGTCAAGGCAAGCCCTGAAAGACAAAATGGTTCTTCTTTTAAGTCCTGCTGTTCCAAATGAAACAGTATCACTCCATCAACTAATTCTTTCTCACAGACGGTGGCCATGCGTTCAAGTTTATAACTCCGAAATAAACTAGCAATGTCCGAAATCGACAGGAGTTTTATATTCACTACATCTTGTTCCTCCCTCTGTTGTTTACAATATGGTGTCTCACCAGCTAAATCTGTATCTGCTGGTGACGACATTCCCTTTTCCTTTTCGATTTTAATTTCATCAGTTGAATTTGCACCGCTCAGATCTGACACCGCTATGGCAGATGGCACATCTGCATTTGGTTCATCACTCCTGACTAATTTTGACTGATCAAGTTTCTCCTGTGCATTGTCTGAACACGTATCTTGTTCATTGAATTTAATTTGTGAAAAGGTCGGCGACTTCAGTTGGAATTCGGTTTCTTTGTACGGAGAGGAAGGTTGTTCATGTTGAGTGCGCGGAGGAGGTGTCGGCGCTTTCTTAGGTATTGGCGGTGGTGGTGCTAAAGGGAGGCTGTCCAGCGTTTTGCTTTTCCTTATCCTACTCGGAACACGGGGTGCCTTAATACTTGTTGGGAACGGCGTTGGTAATTTGATATCATGATTAACTTTCTTCGACTGCTTGTGACGTAGCTTCGGTTCGAGATATTCGGCTGAAAAATATATATTGGCATTTAAGCCGTGATGCGCAGCATTCATTCATTGATGTTAGCGAACAGTGCAAACAACAAATACTAACAAATTTATCAAAACTGATATATAACTAAAAACCTTTATAGACTTGCCTTCGTTATCATAATGAATTTTCAACTGTGTTCTGAATACTGAGACCAAGCAATGTAATTTAAAATAAACATATACACTCTGTAACAATGATATGCTATATAATCATAAGTAAAGCTTATGATCCTAGAAAAAGTGTAAATAGGATTCATAGTACAATGGTTCTAGGGAAGAAAATATAGTGAAGTATGATAGCAAGGTCTTAATGAAACTTTAAATCAAAACTTAAATTTTATGAACCCAGGCCAAATTATAAACAAATTTACATATTTACATTGAGACACCCTCAAAACGTATTAGAAGAATAAATACATATAAATTTACATAGAAATGGAATATTTCTCAATGATATCAATATGACTACTATAAAACTCCCCCATGAATAATTTATCGTCATTTTGTTGTTAAATTCCTTAAATCATGTAGATAGCCTTATTTCAATTAAAATTTCCATGAAATTATTTCGGGACTTAAAACATGAACAATCCTCCTTTATTAGCGTTAATAATTTTAAGAAGACCTATCTTCATTTCACGGAAAGTGAACCGGAAATGTAAATATAAACACAGTTTACTTCAAGAATATATATATACCTAAATTTACACCACCGCTTTCGCATTAACTTAATAATTTTGTATTTGTTTTGTGTTCAATGTATGTAACGTAATTATAATATTTATGTTTTGATAAAAGGGCAGAAGTTGCGTTGCGTTGTAAAGATTGGGTAATGTTACGATTGCATATGGCGGATATCCAACACTTATTACCCGGGAGTTAGTGTTGATATCATAGAATATATACGTAGATGTGATGTAAAACAGAAGTAACTGTCCTTCATTTGGATGGCGCATCAAGAAATGAAAGAAGTTTGTTACGAAAAGAATAGCAATAGCAATAGAAACAACATTATTGAATTGTGACTAGTTCGAATGTGACTGCTGATATACGAAGTCTAAACAGCCTGATATAAGAAGGTTTTACGTACATTTTGATACGGTATATTACATCATATATAAAATGATTATTAATCAAATGTTTCGTATTCATTACAATATCAATAAGACTCGGTAAATCATGATTTAACATTAATATGTGGTACAAGCGTTGTTGAGTAATGCAGATTTCAAAGTTGATGTATATTGTTTAAATAAACACAAGAAATACATAAATGAACTCGTGCATTGAAATCGTTTAGACATTTAGATATACTGTTAGATAGAGTAAAAATATATGAATTGTGTTCATCTCTCATCTGTCAGGATTTCCTTGAAGCAGCACACTGACAATATCCCAGGATGAGGATTTGTTTTAAACACCATAGTCTTAATTGCTGGAAGTTAGGACAGCAGAGGAGAACATATTGGGTAGTTTCTTATTTGCGATTTATATTTATGTCATTTCAACATATTGTTAAGATTACTTTTTTTGACAGACATACTTACAGGTATTTTCTTTTCCATAGAGGTTATATAAGCTGAAACCATTATCATCAGTGCCAACGATTTTGCCAAAGGCAAGCTCAAAGAAGGATTCAGAATGTGTCTTGAGGACTTCAGCCGTCACTTTTTTTAAAGCCTCTTCGCTAAAGTTAAAACACCAGATGTTTTCTATCTTCAACATGTCATTGTCAAGTTTTTGGATACCACCTACATCGTTATGTTCTGAACAACACACAGAAAGCATGGGTCGTTTCTCTAGTGGTATCACGTTGAATCCTACTTCTATTTGATATGTTTGTTGTATATCTTCATCTTGAAATGCCATTTCCGTTGGATGTGTGAATTCCATGCTCATCACATCAGCAGCTGATCTCATTTTGAAATCTGCGGCGGGATTTGGCAAAGCAGTGACATCTATGGACGAGTTTGAGAGTTGTATTGAAATTCCTTTGCCATTTACTTTGCCCCGGAGAATGTTCTGATGTGCTCTATCGGTACAACGATCGATGGTAATTACTTCACCTTCAGTAATCCGTCTGATCTCATTTGGATTGCTTTCATCAGCACATGCGAAAAAGGATTTATTTGCTTTCACTGACAAAGGTAAATCAGTTAAAAGGTCAGCAACATTTCTGTAGACCTTTCCTGTGAACTGGCTGTCTTGTAAGCTTGTTTGTTCGGAGATGAATATGGTTTTAGTAAATAGATTTTCAGCATTGACATACTCGTCATCCTGGGTATCAGAAGATCTCCGTCTCGTTCGCTCGGTTATATCCTCGTTCTTGCACCTAATCCTCAGTTCAGCATTTAAGGAAGGAGGCACGTAGACATGTAGTCCCCGTCCATACAAGGTTAGAATGTTAGATTGCCTGAAGCGTTTCCCTTCATCGGCCGTAAGACTACCACTAGCGATTCGGATAGTGGTAGGGTAGACCATAGTTTGTAAAACATTAGCAAGAGAAGATTCGGCCATTACGCTAGCACTTCTTTCCACACAGGACGATACACATATATGTTATTGTTGTACTTACAGTTTGTACACCATTATCACGTGTTCTAATCAAAGATCGGTACAAAATGTCCGTCCAGTCATATGTTTCTTTGATAAGTAACCAGGAAGTACAGCTATTTTACAACCTGATCTAAAATGATTACGCCATAAGTGTCGTTGTGGTATCTTCCGTGTATGTTGCTATATTTGCAAACGTAGATAGACAAAGAATGACGATATTACAGTACATGTTTATTGGGTTATCAGATTCGCGTATGTACATGTGGGCAGGGTACACCGTTGCATATCGTCTGCTGTTAGTGGATGGAATGTACACAAAACTGACTTCACGTCGTCTGCTCGCGTGAAGTATTTTCGTACATGTGCAAATGAAAGGAAACCATGTTCTTGAATTTTACAGTAAATATTGAAAGCATTTATGCAAATATTGATTCAGTTGTAAAAATTACAGTGAGGTTTATTATAATTTCATAATTTATCCTTAGGAAAGACGTTGAAATCATATTATTTACACGTGTGTTTTATGTACTGTCTTGTATGGGTTTCCCCTAAGATAATAAAAATATGCATGTATTTTGGTTTTCACACTAAAATGAATCAAGAAAATATTACTCTATAGTTGTGAAGAGCTAGTGTACGGTGTACGAATGAAGCTGAAACGGGACATTCTTTTGCTTCATATCATGCAATCTTGATGTTTCATTTTAGTTTGTTTAGATTTAATATATTTATTAACATAAAAAATGACAAAGTAATTTTTACCAACTTATAAAAGACTTCTTCAAATACAATAGATAACATATTTACAATTAAATTTTAAAAATCATCCCAACTAATCTAACATTTGTATCACTTTGGCAATTTTTAGGTTATGCTGTAAAGAAATGCCTAGCGTCACCATTTACATCAATAACACAATGCTATTTATATGTTAGTTCTGATGTAGGGGAAATATGATTGAAAGAAGATAAAAATTTTCATGGGATGCCAACATCGACACTGCCGAATCTATTAGGTTGGCTATAAAAAGGTCATAGTTTCGTGGACTTTATTTGTGTTTTTTTAGACGAAAGTGAAGAATGTTTAATTTTCTATATTCATGATTACCAAATTCTTTGTTTCAATTGTTGTTCACCGACATAGGTTCGATGTAGAATGAAAGAAAGAATTTTGTGATAGATGTGAAAAAATGGTGTTTTCTAGGCAGGTGAGACCTTTGCAAATAACATATACATACATATATATAACATTCCCGACATAATGTAATGACAAAACAATAAGATAATTTGGTACCAACTTGTTAGCTATAGAATAAAATAGAGAGTTTCCGAGTATCTCTTCTTTTCGACAGTAGTAACCAGTCTGAAATAAAATTTCTCTTTTAAATCTCTCCCGGTGTTTAAATTGACAATTCTTGCAGCTTCAATTGATTTTTCTCTGGTGTTAGGGGATAAGTTGCACCGCTGTCGCCCAGTATCTAACATGCATATTCAAGAAGAGGGTGATTACAGATAAAAATGATTCTTCTGAGTTGCTCTTTTTTAAGATAAATTTGGTGCTTGATAAAGGTTGTATTATATCTTATAATTTAATATATATGTATTCAACATGAGATAAACAAATGCCTATATATTTACGCTGTTTTCGTTTCTTAATACAAGATAGAATTAAAGTTCACGAATATAGTCCTACGGTTTGCGTTTTGTTCATGGATTGATTTAAAAAATAATTCAAGGATGAAAATAAATTTGTTAATCGAAATCATTAAAAAAAAGCAATTGTACATTTAAATATTTTGAGTTGGATAGCTTTGTTATACATCATAGATAATGTAAGATAGTTTCTTCTCGACTGTATTTATGCTTTTTACAAACGCTTTGTCTTTTGATATTACTCTAAAATATATACAAATATTCACCTTTGCTTGAACGACATTATATACCAAAAAAACAAAAATTATCCAACGTAGACATATAAGGTAATTCAATTTTTCATGCGCAGAAATATTTTAGTGGTTTTTTAAAAAGATATTTTAAATATCATCTTTTAAATACATTTTATATTGTTGAGCCATAACACGAAAAGGTATTTATTCTAAATAAAATTTTGTTTAACCAATCAACCAGTCTCACGTGTAAAAATTGGGAACAGATTTCTGCATTCCATGATTCTTCAAACTGACAAGTATTGGTGAATTTGGATAAAATCTGCATTTTTTCAACAAGCGATTTTTTTTTAGATTGAGAAAATGAATAAATGATCAAATAAACTCGATATTATTTGTGTGTCACATTGCGCTCACTCATATTCTTTCATTGTTACTTTCTGTAACGACGTTAATTTAGAAAGACAAAATCGAAGTAAGGCAGGATGAACACAGAGGTACTAAGGGAGCTAACTCTGATTCAACGCCGCCACGAGATCAGCTGATTGTGATATAAAAATCATGTGACTATCAACTACTTTCAAGATGGCGACCACCAGAGGGTTAGGACATGTTGTCTCTGTTGTTGTGCTGTTTATTTCATTTGCGATTTTAACTAATGGCTACACACCGAAACGACAGGTGAGTTTAGACAAAAGCTTTCATCTTCACACGATTGTGACTCGCGTATTTTATTCAGTTAGTGCTTAATCATAAGAAAATAGAAATCGCACATGCTTACATGACAGCTAGCTACTAAACACTGGCGGAGTGTACATAGTCCGAAAGGTTATGTTTATCTATTATTTTTTTTTTGTCTTCAACTGTTGTTCCTGAACATATATAATAGATTTACCTTCCTATTTACAATCAAATATATCAAATATTACTGACACTTAAAGATTATTCATGGCTGGTCAACGCACTTTTTTGAAGTCGTCACATGAGTTGAACGTACATGTACATACCTGGTACAAATCCATGATTCTGATCAGCTTCAGTTATTTATATCTAATGATAAAGTAACCGTTACAAGTGTAGTTCACACATTTTTCTTGTTTCACGTATGTGTGCTTGTCTCTTCTTTCAGAGACGTTGTGTTATATACGTCTCTGCTTCTTTTTAGCACAGAGATCTTGTAATAAAATTTGACACGAAGGATCACAACCAAGTCTTTTGATAGAAAGAATCAGTCTTGACTCTTACCTGATGTACATGTAAAATGAACACTGTATTATAAAAAAATCATAGTTTAACTACAGAAAGAATGTTGAAAACGGATATCTAGATAAGGTGTACATGTTGCTTAGCACTTCCATGTTCCTCTCTATATAGCAGATATATCATTATGTATTCATTCGCAGTAGTGGCTGAAGTCAGATCTTGAGACTTCATGAGAAATTTGGAATTTGAATAGCTGGTTCAATCTTTGAGCCATGTTACATGTTACAGATTATCTGACTAAGATCATTGATTATTCTGTACATACAGCTAAATACATACCTGAACCCAGGTTGTGTGAAGGACTGTGGAGGGGGACTGGCTTATGTGAAGGCAAGGGGAGATATGGACACTCTACACTTTGTGTTCACTACAGTGGGAACTCCAACAGCACTGGTGATCAGGACCAATACACTAGCTGACAGAGAGCATGACAGATTGAGTTTCAATTGGGACAAACTTAGGTCCAATGACTCAGCTGGAGCTGTCTACACTGACAATCCACAAACCAAAGTGCTATATTCATATGGTCTCATGTTCACAAGGGTAAGCACATATAGCTTATATATATATATAATAAGCTGTAAAATTTCACACAATTTTCAGTAAATATTTTTTTTTCTAGTGAGTCCAGAGTACCATTTCAAAAAAATCTATAAGTCCTATTACAAAGAGGTGAATTTTCAAAATTTGATTGATTCACACTGGAAAAGCATAGGAGTCCAGAACTGAAATATTTGAGTCCAAAAATTCTCTGAATATTGTTAACAAAATAACATGAACTGTATGTAAACTTCTGATGCAACAAGGATGATGCTATTTGAGTTGTCCTTTATGTAGACAGAGTTTGTACAAGGTGACTAACCTGTTCTTGATGTCTTTACTAGTTATTTCAGTACAACGACACATCAGATGATGCAGACCTTTCTCACTACTCAGCACCCAGTTCTGAACTGACTGTGTTTGATTTTCTGGACAATGTTACCATGTGGGAGAATCTTTTGGACACATCATCAGATGAACTGATTATTTTAAAAATTCAACAAACAGATCCTGACCTATCAACTGCGATTATGAATGGTTCTCTAACGATACAGGTATTTGTTTATCTGTTTTTAGTGGTTCCCTGCGCTGTAAACTCTACTAATAGAAAGCCTACCTTCAAAAACTTAGGATTCTACTTCTTATTTATCCGTCTTAGCTTTGATTATGTCATTGAAAGGAAGAAATCCTGATCACCATTTAAAATAGCAAATGTCTCTGGATACTCATTTCACCCTTCACATTTTGAGAAGTTAAGTCACAGAACTGAAGGGTCCATATCATACATGAAATAAGAAGACTATGTGTGTCTTTGAATACAAGAGCCAAAATTAAATTGTAAGAGTCAAAAACATATTCTCAAGGGTCTGCTGAATGCCCTATTGTTAGTTTTTAAATTTTTGCCTCTTTTTTGTATTTTTTTTTTCAAAATTTTATTAAAGGGAACTATTCATTTCAAACTGACATTTTTGGTCATCATGGTACCTTATTGTGGTCTCCTTTAGTCCAGTCTTGTGTGTAGTGTTTTGTGCATCGTTAATGTTCAACATCTTTTGGAAAACTCCTGGACGGATTTCAAAGATATTTTGCAGAAAACTTTAATTGCAAAACCTGAACAAAAATTGTAACTTGTATGATCCACTGCCCCTAGGGAGTCTTAGGGGTGGGGCCAAAATTAGGTCAAATTAATTGAAATTAAAACTAAAATTCTTATCGATACTCAAGAATGGTAGAGTGGAATGTTTGATGTGTTATGTTTCATGTATTGTTGAAAATCTTCAAAAAATAAAAAATTATAAAAAAAAAAAAAAAAAAAAGAATGGTAGAATAGACATACTATTCATGGATGGAAGGGTCTTTTAAAATGCCCTGCCAAAATTATAGATTTCACAATTCCAGGGTCTTCCATTTCCTCCTGGGAATAATTTTTAATTATATACTCTGGAAATAGTTCTAACACGGTAAGAATTATTAGTGTGGGATAACAGTTTCTTGGTTTGCACATAGTGACTCTGAAAGACCCCTAGGAGCTAATGGGCGGGGCAAAAAGCAGTCAAAATTGACTCAAATTTCAAAATTATAAATATGCTAGAATCTATTAAATACTGTTTATAGATGGAAGTGTTTATATGGGAGAATAATATGTTTTGAGAGGTAATTTCTTTAAGTTTAAACATGATAAGAAACTTTAGCATGGGACTTCAGTTAGCATTATATATACAAGTGTATGCATATTTAATATTTGCATTACATGTAAAATGTAGTTAAAGTTATCTAACTTTATTAACATGATAATTTCTATAACATGTAACTAGAATGATGACAGCATTTTAACTCAGCTGACCATTAAGACCTTTGGGCCTCTTTTTTCTCATTAACAATGTTCCAAAGATTGTGAGAAGATGAGAGGTACTTATATGATATTGAGTATAGAACCCATTTGAAGATGTAGAATTCTCCCTCTACACTTGTCATATAGAGACATACACATGGATTAACAACAAATGTAGTAAACATAAAGATCAGGATAAGGTGGTTATATTGAAAATTTATGATGAATTTCGTAAATCTGTTGAGAAACAGAAACAGATTGAAGATTCTGTTTATCATATATCAAGTATCAAAGAAAACCCATGTTTCACTGTCATTCATAGAGGTATTATCTTATTTTATCCATTGCAAATGCAAGATATCTTACAATAGGTCATATTACATAGATATACAAATATGACATAGGTGTTTATGTTTTCTATAAAAAAAAACCCAAAATGTGTGATTAAGTGAATTACTCTGTATAATATTTTACAGTTTCACATGTTTGACCATGAAGATCGGGCAGATGACCTTCCTCACCTACAGTACAATGAAGACACAACACACTTCGACTTCATCCTCCAGGATATTGACACAGGAAACCGTTCCAATGCCCGCTATGGTTTAGAGACAATCTTCTTCAGTGAGGATGCTGACAAGGGAGATATGACTATCGAGGATGTCAAGTCAATTGATGATGAGTACTCTCCGGGTGTTTTTTCTGTAAGTGAAGTCTTGCTTATGTACAGACTAATTGTAAGTAATAAAGATCTTGTAATAGAAAGGATTTTGCTACACTCTGGTTCCCTCCATATTTATCAGAAAGTATTTCTTTTTATTAACCAATTAAGAATTTAAATGCCAATGATATAAAATGATAATATAATTTTTTTAAAACTGTAAATACAAGGTCACTGATTCAGACCTTATGGGCCTCTTCTTGAGCAGCTTAATTGCACTGTCATGTGATCTAGTTAAGATTGGCAATCAATAGCAAGATACATTACAATACATCTTTGTTACCCAGAATGAAAGTCATTAACTTTTTAAAACTGATTTCCAAATATATATAAACTGTGATGGTATCACATAAAATGTTCAACATTAACAGCTGGTAATATTGCCCAGTTTTTCTGCACATCATGCATTCATTCTCATTTTTTATTGTGTACAATGGCCAAACATATAGCAATTTTTTGATCTCATAATTGTTGAATTACTGACTCAGATTTGAGTTGTTTTGAGGTTACTTGAGACAAAAATCTTATGGTGACATTTTTCAATCGTAGTAGTTTGTTCATAAACTTTTCTCATTTTGAACTTCTCAAAATCGTGTGAACTTATTTTAATGAAATTTTGCAGAAACCTTCTCTGGCCAAGGGTGAACCAAAATAGTGAATCCTATTTTCCCTTTCCCCAGGGGCCTTCGGAGCAGGGCCAAAGCAGTAAAATTTACTTGATTCAAAAATCTTCTTCTCAACATCCAGATATAGAAGAATCAGCAAAATTGTGAATTTTCTGGCCGCAGATTCTCACATTACCCCTTGGAGAGAGGTTACAGTTTACTATAGTTTATATAAGAAAAGTACATTTTGGAGCATAATTTGTTTGATTTCCACAGGAAATAACTTGGTAAGAATCATTAGAATATGATGATAGTTTTGATGGTATACATATACATATGTTACTTACCTCGGATGACTTTGACATGTAATCCTTTGTTCCAGATCAACAACTTGCTAAGCAGACCGGCAGTAAAAGCAAATGGCGGATTTCTACAATGGAAACCAATATGTTACATGAAGCCTGCCAGGGCTCGCTCAGTGGCCACTGCAGTGAAGAAATATGGGCCTCAAACTCTGACAGCAGAAGATAAAACCAACACAGGTTTTGTTAAAAACAGTATTGCGTACGCCTTTTATGGAGGTCATAAAATCATTGATGTTAAGATGTCGTACTCCAATTTCTCATTTGGACTTTCAAAGGATGGTTTTTTTACCAAAAACAATTACACAGCATGGTAAGTGTGAAGTGCAATATGATTGGTGAACATGAACGGTGTTTAAAATGTCGTCCTAGATTAGTGGAATAACACTTGTATTGGTTTTCTGTAGAACTTTTAATGAGAGAAGTCCAATGACGAATCCTCAGATTGAAATTTAAGTGTCAGCATGTTAAATTGTAATAAAGTTTTTATAAAAAGGAGAAAAAACATGGAAAAGGCCTGATTGTGAAATTTCAATAAAATTTCTTTGCTATTTTGCCCTGTAAAGATTTCATAAAAGTAGAAAAAACTTCGAAAATCCTGCTATTCAATTACAATTATTTTTTTGACTTCGTCAAGTGAAGTTCTAATCAGAAAGCGAAAAAATTTAAAAGGCCTGATATTGAGATTGCAATAGTTATTCTAATTTTGACAGGTAAAGTTTTAATAAAAAAATTTGGAAGGCCTAATATTCAGCTTATTCTAGTTCTAATACGGCTTTTAACAAACATCCACCTGTCAAATATAATCCAAATCCAGCTTGATTTTGTGATTCTGACCAAGGCCAGTATCTCGTGTACATACTCTAGGGATGAAGGGAAGGTTGTAAGTCAATTTATCAATATTGTATATTTTCTTTGGGCACACATTTTTGATTTTACATAAAATATGCATTTTGATTTCCTGGATTTCCTGCTCACAAAATGTTTTAATACTGTAATCCATGTCAGTTTTTATCCGTTTTTCATTTGGTAGGCATGTAAATTCGTGGGTTAAGAGTACCCACCATTTCGTAAAGAAAATAAATCTCCCACAAAAATTTCTGAATGTACAGTATGTCATATTACTGACCAATATAAGACTGTGTACGTGTATAATTCTAAATATCGGTCAATATGTCATGTAATTCTGACCAAATGAACACATGTTGTTTGATTATGACCGCTGGTCTGTGCAGGTGGTCTGTACAGTTTATAGTACAGTGTATAGTATGTTACACGATTTGGACCAAATGTTGACGTGTTGAATGATTCTGACTAGAGGTCTGTGTGTTGTGCGATTCTTTCCAATAGTCAATAGGTATATCATGTGTTTACGACTGGTGATTGATCCTGCCAGTATGCCATTTTTTTTTGCCAGTTTTACCACCTGGGGTCTTCTTTTACAAAGCCAAATAACTGTCTGACGAATCTGGTCTCCTGAAGATATATTGAACGTGAATTTGTTCGACAGTCTATTAGTACACGCCCACCTGTTTGAGCACCATTAGATTACTTCATATTTTTTTTGTTTTAGGACTGGATCACTTGGCTATGGGGTTCCCCCAGCAGACAAGGTGTCCACACTGGTTATCTCTGTGATATCAGCTGGTCTTGGCCTGCCTGTTGTACTTATGGTGTTTGGTGGTTTATTTGTCTGTATGAAGAACAAGTTTGGAAAAAAAGCTAAAACCACAAGCTTTTCGGAAAACAGGATCAATTGAATAAGCTGGTAAATTACAAGGACACATTAAAGAACAATCATTTATGATTCATCATCAAGGACATGTTGATACTGTGATATAAGTCTTGTTGTTTACTTTGTACAAAGATCAGTTTAAACATAAATTGAAAACAATATTTGACTTATTTTGAAATATTGTAGACTCATTTTAGAAATATCAAATAAAATATATTGTCTCCAAAAAGTTACATAAAAATTCCAAAACGTATCGCATTTGGATATTGAAAACATCTGAAATGTTAAGGTATATTGTGTTCAATGAGAAAGCTAAAATCAACTTTTAAGATTTACAAGGTCAATATTCTAATATTCAAATTTTTTTATTAGAAAATATTAAAATAAATCTGTTGCTCCAAATCTCTAGTTTAAAATACCATGTCAGTGGTATTGTTGTAATGTATACTGGTGCCAAATAATTTCATATATAGATACAGTCACACATGAATGAGATTTTTTTAACCATTTCATACATGTATTTGTTTACTGTATTTGAATGTAATTAACATTTCAATGTTTCATGTATATGTCTCTACATTCCAATACTCCTTACTTTGTGTTGTATAATTTTCTTGTATAAATAAATCCTAATTTTTGTTATTGAGTAAATTGATCACACTGAAAATGTTGTAATTATCATAAAGCATCTATGGTTGAAAGATTTACTGAAGAGATGTGAGTGAGAGATGCTTTGATGTATTGTACTTCATTAAGAAGAAATGAAAGTGGTATTTTCACAAATTGATTTACTTTGCAAGCAAAACAGTACTAATAGAGAATGTGTCATTATGGTTGAAAGATCATATTAAATTAATACAAACATGAACTTGTTCTATAGAACTACTAATAATAGAATGTTTACTACCAAAACATTTGTTAAAACTGAGAGGGTAATGAGAAACTTTGAACTTATTGTTCAAAATATTTTCTCTTTCTCTCTTTTTTTTCAAAACCTCAAAATTTCCCAAAATTGGCAAATGTTTTATTTTTTAGATAAGTTGTCTACATTGTATCTATGCAATGAAAACATTTAGAGTGAAATGTGTTGGATTTGTAATTTGTCTGTTTACTATTTAAAACAATGAGATACTGTGTATATTAAATTATTAATTAAAAAGTGGACAAATTGAATCTGAAGTTAATCAGTTCTGATTTGATTGCTGAATAACAATAGATAACATCAAAGTTGTCAAGCAACTTTTCTTACTAGTGAGACGTATGGATGGTTATTTTAAGTGTGTTACCAAGGGGAGATATTTTAAGTGTGTTACCAAGGGGAGATATTCTAAGTGTGTTACCAAGGGGAGATATTTTAAGTGTGTTACCAAGGGGAGATATTTTAAGTGTGTTACCAAGGGGAGATATTTTAAGTGTGTTACCAAGGGGAGATATTGTAAGTGTGTTACCAAGGGGAGATATTTTAAGTGTGTAACCAAGGGGAGATATTTTAAGTGTGTTACCAAGGGGAGATATTTTAAGTGCGTAACCAAGGGGAGATATTTTCAGTGCATAACCAAGGGGAGATATTTTCAGTGCATAACCAAGGGGAGCTACTTTAAGTGTGTTACCAAGGGGAGATATTTTAAGTGTGTTACCAAGGGGAGATATTTTAAGTGCGTAACCAAGGGGAGATATTTTCAGTGCATAACCAAGGGGAGCTACTTTAAGTGTGTTACCAAGGGGAGATATTCTAAGTGTGTAACCAAGGGGAGATATTCTAAGTGTGTTACCAAGGGGAGATATTTTAAGTGTGTTACCAAGGGGAGATATTTTAAGTGTGTAACCAAGGGGAGATATTTTAAGTGTGTAACCAAGGGGAGATATTTTAAGTGTGTTACCAAGGGGAGAAATTTAAGGGTATTACCAAGGGGATATATTTTAAGTGGGTAACCAAGGGGAGATATTGTAAGTGTCTTACCATATTTTAAGTGCGTAACCAAGGGGAGATATTTTAAGTGTGTTACCAAGGGGAGATATTTTAAGTGTGTAACCAAGGGGGGATACTTTAAGTGTGTTACCAAGGGGAGATATTTTAAGTGTGTAACCAAGGGGAGATATTTCAGGTGTGTAACCAAGGGGAGATATGTTAAGTGGGTAACCAAGGGGAGCTACTTTAAGTGTGTAACCAAGGGGAGATATGTTAAGTGGGTAACCAAGGGGAGCTACTTTAAGTGTGTAACCAAGGGGAGATATGTTAAGTGCGTAACCAAGGGGAGATATTTTAAGTGTGTAACCAAGGGGAGATATTTTAAGTGTGTAACCAAGGGAAGATGATTTAAGTGTGTTACCAAGAGGAGATATTTTAAGTGTGTTACCAAGGGGAGATATTCTAAGTGTGTAACCAAGGGAAGATAATTTAAGTGATTTACTAGGTGGAAATAATTCCTATGTCTCAGGGATATTTGTAAAGAAAAAGCTATGAAATAAAAGCATGCTGTGATAAATAGGCTTTACATATAAATATCCAATATGTCACCTTGGTGACTGGAGTATAAGTTTTTGGTCAGCAATATCAGATGGTTGGTGTACTTGAATTGCTCGATGTCTGTGGCCTGTTATCTGTTTATCATCTGGTCAGCTGTAAACAATTCTTGTTATGGCTATTTGTTGAAAAAAAACTCGACGGATCTTTCTCAAATTTAAATCGTTTGTGTCCTGTTGATTTTTCAATTTGTCTGAAAAACAAAATTGCTGTCAGACCGCCACCTTGGATTTCTACACTGAGTGTTTGTAATCACTATTTCTTGAGAGGCATATGATGGATCTTTCTCAAATTTCCAATGTAGGTTTTCCTTGATCCCTTGATGTACCTTTTTTTGGACTGATCATGTAAATCAAAATGGCTTAGAGGCAATCATCTCGGACTTAACAGTTGAAAATTGGTGTCACTATTTCTGTAGAGGAATTAATTTAAAACAAAAAGAGAAAAGAAGGGAAAAGTTTCAAAGAATAAATAAAAACCAAACAATCAAGTGTCGACACTTGATATTAAATATATACTGACAATGTTACACGGAGTAAGGTATTCAAATCACCGACTATTTCACCCATAGGGACAACCGATTATATCATTATGTGTTGTCGACTCACATATTGCTGCGTTCCGTTTCCCTTGGACGTAATCATTGAGAACGAGTATGGTAGAAATTGAATTGATTGATATTTAGTGAGTTTTCCCCCTGTAACTTCAGTAGATTCTTGGTATTTTATTGTCATGTAAATGCTTTTGTTGACGCAAAAAAGTTCGTTTGGCATTTACATCAAATGTTCATCTGCTTTAAGACAGTTAACGACGTGATGTTAAAGCCATGCTCTCGGGATTTTTACGATCGTGTTATTACTAGACTTTATAGCTTACATAAGTATGTACAAATGTATATTTTCGATCTTAATTCTCTCTGTGAAAGTTCAAGCTATACTTTGTACCTATAGTATGGATAATTCTTGTGTATAAAGTCCACCTCTCTTCCCCATCCAGATATCCCCATGCTACCTCTAATCTACCCACTGCAAAACACAAAACAACGAGAATGCAATATGTGCTGTGAAACTAAATAAAACCATTATTGTGATGTCATCAACCAAAGGACCGTACTATCATTTGCTTACATTAGTATAACGTCCGATGTTCTTCTGTAAATGGTAAACTAACCACCATGGCCAGGTAATTTTGTTAGCATAACGATCAAATCCTTTCACACACGATAAGGACAATGAAGCCGGTACAGCTTTAAATTGAGATTTTTGTTTTGTTCCTAACAATCTTGTACAGAACGCGAGGAAGGTAATATATAGTGACTACATCAATCAGATAGCGGGTAAGTGATGCCTGGAAATTGCAAACAATACACAACGAAAAATCACTTAAAACAGATGTGTTATAAAACGCTATGACCCTGGTTGCGACAAAATTCTGAAGTGGGACATTAAAACTGTACTGACATGGTAAGATGCGGGGGCATAAAACAGGACTCCACGCGTCATTATCTAATACTTTGATTCTTGATAAAAAAAAAAGTTCCAACAAGTTAAAGCAATGTGTTTCTCATCGTGACATAAGAATGTACTGCAAAAGATATAATTTTCAAGGGATTGTTTTTTTTTTAATTTTTGTCAAGAAGAAAATTGCGACAAAAAGGATACAGAAATGTACATTAAAAATAAATTCGATAGAGATGACTTGTTGATTGTCGTGTAAAAGTTATGTTCTTATATTTGAAATTTGACGCGTCGAAGAAAAGAACTTCATTTGATAAATGTTTCTTTTTGGTGATGGCGATGTGAACTTCCATAAACAGACATGTGAAGTCTCTCTTCATAAACGTTGTTACGAAAAGTTCATGGTCATTGTCAGATCACAAAGTTACCTGGGTATCTTATTGTAGGCTATTTTCATTCTTTTCATATAAAAGCATTTTTTTCTCATTTTTGATTGGTTTAGCACCAAAGGAACGGAATATGTTATAATCTGCCGCAGAAAAAAATTGCTTCGAAATACATGAACAAATTTTTTTGACAAAAAAAAAAAAAAACAAACAAAAACAAAAACAAATACAACAAAAACGAGATATTTTTAGATCATTTTACTTTATTTCTCCGAATCACTGTTATGACAGTCACTGATATTTCATTGATTTGAAGCAATATTTATTTTCACCTTTGCATATGACTCATGTTCGCTACTGTATTCTATGTACACGTAACACAGACCTGAGATCCAAAGTGGTATAGACACTACATATTGTACAACTAAGTATGCTGTCAGTGTCCTCTAGTCCGTGGTGGTGCAACGTTTCTCACCACGAGCTGATATACAATACCCAGCCGCACCTCAGCAAGTAATACATCAACTGACCTACACATAAACAGTACATTGAGAAGTCGCACTCTCTACTGAAAAAATTCAGAAAATCTGGCATTAGAAACGTTTTTGTGGAAAGAAATAGTAATTTTAATAATACAGTTGTGAGATCTTATGGGGCGGTTTTTGAAAGTTGATAGGAATCTCAATAAAAAATTTAGAGTATATAATCCAAAGATAAGTTTTGAGAATAATGTCATGATTGTTCGCCATTTGTCCCAATATATTTTCAATTTTTCCAAACGGATTATTTTGTTTTAATTGAGTTTTTCATTTTAGAAACAAAACATAAATTCAGTATTGAAAAAAAAAGTTTTTTATCATTTGTTTGGGTCATTATGTCTGCGCAACAACTAGGATATACAATAATGTATGCAGTTGGAACAATTGGTTAATTTGACAACAGACGAACAATGTTGTAGTGTGTTTAATTCACAGGTTTAAAAACTATGGTGAGAGATAAAAACCATTCAAAGTAAGAAATTTCTTGTAGTGTTTTCATAATGGAATAAAAAAAAAAACTTAGATATTTATCTTACCAATGTAATGCTTTTAATCTTATTGAAATGATATTTAGAAATAATTTTAATAGACTAATCTATCATGTTTAGAATACTAAGCTGTAACGTTTCATAGATGTAGGATCGTTCGTGAACAGGTGCGTTTGGATAGGATTATGTTTAGAATTGGTAATGTGACTGTAGTTGTAGCAATGTCGGTTAAGTAATTATAGGGTAACATACCTCTATTAAAATGACTGCCCTGTTTCTACCTATATCACAGACTCACGGTTACATGCATAGCACGATAGGGTTTATATAAAGCAACATTAATTTCCATTTCACTATTGCTACCCACATGTTTTTCTACCCTCAATTTGTATACTTTGTACATACTATACAGGTATATGTAATCCACGCAATTCAATTGTACAATGACGTAATGGCCGTCTTTAATTAGAACGATGTGTTAAAAAGAAAGTAACAATATATATATAATCAATATATTACTTGTCTAAATGATACCATCGTCTAGTTTTATAAGAAGACGACTGTTCATTAGAAGGAGATGCAAGTTTAATTCACTTTTTGGTTCAAATGTATCAGATTTTTGGGTTGTATTTACAGGTGCTATTCATTTTTGCCTTCCGTACAATCCTTGATAGGTGGTAGACACTGCTGATGGACTCCCAAGTCCCCGGAGTTCGCCGTAA